ACAGGTAATTCCCATGATTTCAAGAATGCTTATCCTGTGTAAAGGGTGAGCCCTAATTACTACATTCATTTCTAGAAGAGAACATTTGGAAATTTACTCAGACCCTTGAGAAATGTCATTGCCTTTACCTGTTTTTTTTTCCACGATATTTTATTATCTGAAAGAGAAAATGGCTGCCCTCAGAGGGAGGGAGCCTACCTGTTGTTTTAGTCATAGTTTCTTATTGCTGCTATGACAAATTACCACAAACTTGATGGCTTAAACAATAAAAATTTATTCTCTTATAGTTCTGTTCAGAACTCTACCATGGGTCTCATTGGGCTAAAATAAAAATATTGGCACGGCTGTGTTCTTTTCTGGAGGCTCTAGGGGAGAATCCGTTTCCTTGCCTTTTCCCGTTTCTAGAGGCCTTCCACATTCATGGCTCATGGCCCCCTCTCTCCATCTTCGAATCAACAGTGTAGCAAATAGCTGACTTTGCTTCTGTCTCACATCTCTTTGACCAAGGCCAGGAAAGGTTCTCCGCTTTAAGGAACTCTTTTAATCAGATTGGGCCCCTGGATAATACAGACTAATCTCCCCAGATAAAGGTCCTTAATCTAATTATGCCTTCAAAGTCCTTTTGTCTTGTAAAGTAACACATTCATAGGTTCTAAGCATTAGGACGTGGACATCTTTGAGGAACCGTTATTCTGCCTGCAACAGGGAGCATTCCTCCTGAGGCCACATGATGTAGGTGGTCTGGCTATCCCCATGCAGCCACTTTCCTCAATGCAACAGTAACGGGATGTTAGTGACTGAAATGGTTTCCAGTTTCAGGTGCATTCTAGAATACTTCATCTCTTGACTTTCATGTCCCTACTCACGATTAAAGAAGTCCCTATTACTCCTTGTGCTAAGGCCCATTCCTATGTCCAGTGATATGGAAAACATATTCCTACATTGCATTTTTTCCTTTGTTGAAGGTAAATAACATAATGTTACTCCATTGTTTAAAATACTTCAGTGCCTTCCTATTGTATTTCTTACAGGGCTAAACAAGCCCTGCGTGATCTAGCTTCTGCTTACCCATCATACCAGTTTCTCCCATGATTATTGCAGTACAATCACACTGAATTTTTTTTAGATTCTCAAATCCACCAGGTTTTTCCCTGATACATGGTCCTCACACATGCTGTTCTCTCTAGAATGCTCTTACACACTTCATCTGGCTAACTCAGGTCTCAGTTTACATGTTACTTCTTCAGCAACACTTCCCTTCCTAAATTATGTCCTTCCTACGATTCTTTTCCACAACACCTTGTTATTTTCTTTATTATACTTAGTATTTACTTGTTTATTTATTTTGTGTATTGTCAGTTTCCTTTAAAGGGCTCTAATTTTATAACAGGGGAATCACATAACCAGCACCTAGCACAGTTTGGCTAATATTGGCAAATATTTATTGGATGAATGAATTCCCACTGCCACAAGTGTAGGCTTTAACTCTATGCAATAAGATTATAAACTCTTTGAAAGTAGAGATGGTCTAATTAAACTTTGACCTTCCATAGCCCAGTAGGCAATGTCTTGGACACATGTACGCATTCCATAAATATTTATTCAATGAATCCTGGATTACTAATCTAGACTCCTCTTTCTTCCTCTTTTAATTCACATAGCATAACATTTCTAAAATATTGCTTCCATCATCTTAAATTCCCTGCTAAGAAACCTACCCACTATTACCTATTTCATCAAATTCAACTTTATTACCCTTCCTAACTCTCAAGTAAAATATGTAGTATTTTATAATCATCACAACACAACTCAATACTTATCCACTCTCTCGAATGATTTCTAATCCTTTCATATGTATGAATGCAGTTTCATTAAAATTGCGTTCAATAACGGACTACATCTTCTATTTGAGCTTCCCCTTTTCTTGGGCACACAGGCACTCAATGTCAAAGGAAGAAACCATCATTCAAAATCTGAAAAAAAAAGCAGGTTTATTGTTTTCTATGTGTAGAAGTACTATGCTTATTTGACACAGCCTCTCTGCTGATCTATAGTATTTTGTAAAAGGTGGAGTTCAGGGATAGGCTGCCTTTCAAAAATGGGAGTGGACTGACATCAGCGGTAGAAGCATGATACTCTATTAACAGGCTGATTTTCAGAGACAGGGTAATTCACGTAAGGCTGTTGCTGGTGGGCTAACTTTTAAATGTGGGAGACCGTCACTGAGTGGCAGGCTCTTTTGGAGGCTTGTTCACAAGGCTGAGTTGACACTGATCTATTGAGTTTAAAATCACATCTGCTCATTAATTTATATCATAGCTACATAATATGCTTTTCCTAAGAATATAGGATTTTTAACATTTTCTTCCAGAAATATTAATTGACGAACACATTCAAATTTTTCAGATGCAAAAAGGAGAGATTTATTTGGAGGTTTATTGTACAGTTAGAGCATCTTTGACCTTTCTGAGGGGAGCGTTATCATTCTTTTTCTGTTCCCCACAGCATCTCCCATCTTCATTCTAACCAAGCAGGGATGATCAGGTTGAGTAGTCATATGTAGATTTGATAGGAAGTGTGTTATTCGGGCAACTAAATAATATTGAGAGGGACAGGTTAGAAGTTTCTTTCAGCTTTACAACTCATTATTGAAAATGCCATGTAAATATTTAGGATTGTCACATTTGGGAAAATCTCAAGGTTATTTAATATATAACTTAGAAGATTTTAAGGCATATTATGTTTCTTTAAACTGAAGACATTCTAACTAGTTTGCTGTGGATATCCTTATTAAATGCGGACAGAAAAGAACTCCCTTTTATTGGCTAAGCATTGATAAGCACTAAATCTTTCATCAACATTTTACACATCCTATATTTGGAGGATTTCCCCACAGATTTGCTTTAGGTTCCCTAAATTTCAATTTTGCTTTTCCACTATTCATATATTTTGACGCTAGAACATAGGACACATTCAAATAGCTATAAGGTGTTTGGCCTGACACCTTTGTTTTACAATGCTGGGTGGGTTGGTACAATGGGTGGTAGGAGTATTCTTGGATGCCATTCCTACACTGAGACAGCTGGCAATATCCTAACAATACATGGCAGTGATTGTGAATTATAAAAATATATTCCACTAAACTCAGACCAAATGTATTCTAGCTCAACTTTCCTTCAGCTAAATTTAAAAAATGCCTGCTAGGCACTCCAACACCATTAATAAGGGGAAGCATGACAGAGTAGAAATCAGTGAAAGATCTAGCAGGCTAAGGATTGCAGTTAAAATTTTTACTTTTAAAAATTTTACAAAAGCGTATGACCATGTGAACATATTGCTAGGGACTGTCTCATGCCTTAGAAAGGGCTAGTGCAAATGAAGCCCCTGAAGCTGAAGCTTTCTTAGCATCAGAACAAATCTGCCATTTTATTTATAGGGTGAAATTGTCAATTTTCAGAATTAGCTCTCTATAAGGCCAGTGGGTATGTATTTACAGCTCCATTTGAGGCAAAGATTTTCTAGCAGGAAGAAATCTTTATCTCTTATATCAAAGGGTTCCCTGCTATTTGTTTAGACTAGTGGTTCTCAAACTCTTTGTTCTCATGATCATTTCACACTCCTAAAGACTATTGAGGACTCCAAAAAGCTTTTATGTGGATTGTATCTATCAACATTAAGCATATATGGAATGAAAAAGAATTTGTAAAAAATTTTTTATTCGTTTAAAAACAACATAATAAATCTGTTAGATGCTAACATAAATTATTTTTTTGATGAATAATAACTATTTTCTCAAAGCAAAAAGAATTTAGTGAGAAGAGTGGCAGTATTTTACACTTCTGCAAATCTAATGTCTGGCCTAATGGAATTCTTGTATCTGCTTCTGCATTCCATCTGCTGAAATATCACAGGCTGTGTAGTCTCTAGAAAACCCCATTGTACTAGAGAGAAAAGGGCAAATGAAATCCTAGGATGAAATACTTTTGATCCTATGGACCCCTGACCACACTGAAAATCGCTGATTTAGATAGACATCACTAGATCTACCTTCTGGTTGTCTAGGGCTTCCAATGTTCCCTCTTTATTTCTGTGTCTTTACAATCAACACTACTTCCTAGATAAGAGTCAAATACTAATTATTGTTATGCTTCTCAGCATATATAGAAACCTTTAGAGACTTTTTAAAAAATGAATAACAAGTCCTGGAGAAGTCATCCTTCCCTTTCACTGACAAGGGTAAAAGTATCTTCATTGTCTGCTCCCTGATAGTAAGGCTTATATGTTCTTTTAGGAACATAATGACTACGACAAATGTTAGACTAAGACCAAACACAACATCTGGTGCCTTTATCTAATATTTACCAAGTTCTTTCTGTGGGCTAAGTGCTTTACAAACATTATCTCATTCTCACAATAATACTATGAGGTGCCTGTCATTCCCATTTTACAGATGAGGAAACAGAGGTTAATGCCCAGTGTTATATGGGACTGAGCCAGGAAGTGAACCTAGAAAAGCTGTCTCTGGAGCACACAGTCCATTATCTACAGATAAGGTATAAAAGAGGGAGAGCAAGACTCATATAAAATAACAACAGAGGTGAAAGAGGGAGATTGGTAAAGCAAAAAGCCTCAGGGCCAAGACAGGTGTTACCAAGTGGCTGCACTGTATTATTTTCCACTTGGGGCTCCTTTTCTGTTTTCTATTGGTCCTGTTCTCACATGTAAGATATTTAACTGTTGTGGTTTTATTTCTCAGGCCTGAGGCTGTTGTGAAATTAAAACGTTAAACCACTTGGTGAAAAAGAGCAGGGCAAACCGAGTAACCACGGTGATGGTAGAGCGGCTTAAGCCCTGCGCAGGCGCGTTACATCCCAGGCGCGCCTGCCATCCCCCAGTCGCAGCCTCAGACTCCACCGGCTGGTGGGCAGTACGGGCGTGGGCTGCGGGTACGGGAGGGCGGGCAGGATGCGCCTGCGCAGTCGTCGGGCGCTGGTGTGATCGAGCTCACGTAGCGAGGGCTGCAGTCACCGCCTCCCCAGTGCCGCCGTCGCGGCCTAGAGGTTATAAAAGGGCTAACGGGCTCCCTCTGCTGCCCAGTCGCGCCGCTAGCGGTCCGAGGGGGCGATTGGGTGTCCCGGCCGGTGTGCAGGCGACAGGGGACTGAGGAACGCGCCGTCTTCTTGTCCCACTTCCCAGGTGAGACGCTCCCTCGACCTTGAAAATTGAGGCCCCTGGCCAGCCGTGGCCCTTCTCGGACGGCTGTGGCGGTCTGGTCCCTTCCCCCTCTGGTGGCATGGCTTGAGGGTGGGAGAATCTCCGCCGAAGCGCAGAAGCCTCAGTACCTTTTCTGGAGCCTCGGCCTCTTGCCCCTTGCCCCGCCAAGTCCCTCTGGCTGCCCGCAGGTCCCTCTGCCCTTCGCGGTGCCCCGCTCCCCACCTCCCAGTGGACGCCCCGGACCGCTGGGGCTGTGGCAGCCTCTGTCCCCGCCCCGGGGACCAGGACTTTCTTGAATATTCCTTCCCGGGCAGGAGTATCCCTGTTGATTTTTCCGAGCTCCGCTCACACCTGGTCCTCCCAGTAACGCCAAAGGGAACGCGAGGGCGGGGCGTGGGGGTTTTGGCCCCCACAGCAGCAGATGGGTAGCATGTGGCAACGGAGAGCGGGTTTTGAAGCTTAGAGCTGAAGTCGTGAACACTCCAGGCATTTTTACTCAGTTGAAAAGTCATCGGGTCTGCGAAGCGGACCTACCCAAAGAAGTTAGGGCTTAATTCATCTGTTGCGCGCAGCCGTGCTGCTGGAGCAGCTAGACGCAGCCGCGGGCGGCGAGTTTCGGGCTGCTGGGTTGAGGAAGTCTGCTGTCAGATCAGCCAGTCATCTGGGAAGCTCAGTCTTCTTCCTTCCCTCTTCTCCCACTTAAATTTTTTAAAGGCCCATGCACTTCTTCCCCTCTCTCGTCTCTCTCAGCAGAGAGTCTGCTGCTTTGAAAAGTTCACATCAGTCAAATGAATTCCATGGGTTATATAAGGGCCTCCAGATGTATGATTTAAACAGTGGTCCCATAAGTTAGGAGACTGTTTATTCCAAATAACTGAATGAATTAAATACAAGTCAGTGTTCACGCATTAACATCTTAGGCGTTCCGGATAAGAGTGAAGACTCTTGGAAGTTTGCATTGTTTGCTTTAAGAAAGGGATGAAGAAGCAGCTAGATATCCTTTTTGGAATTGATCTAAGAGGCCAGAGAGGTTTGCCAATTTCACCTTAACTGTTTCTGGTTTCTCCGAGAGCTGTGGCTTTTGGACTTTCTCTTGGAATGCACTCTGAAGGGATGAAGTAGCCACTACGTGAGTGGGGGAGGGGGAAAAGACGTGGCAGCAGTATTCTTTCATCAACTTTCAGCTCTTTTTTTTAAGGTTCTGTGGTAGAAACATTTCCTCTTTTAGATTCAGATGTAGCTTTTATGAATGAGACTAGTCTTTTCCTAAAATAATCAGATGAAATAGTCCGCATAGCAGGAACATTGGAATTTAATTTATAAAGCATTTTAAAGGTTTTTTTCTGATCAAGTTTCTGTGAAGAAAACGGATACCCTAAGCAGGAAATACCAAAGAAGCTGAAAGTGAACAACCTTGATTATGTTTTGCCTTGATTTGAATTTTAAATAGACATTTAGGTGATTTTAACTTTGACTTTTAACCTGTGAATGTTAAATTTAAGAATCTTAAATATGAACTTACAATTTTACCTTTTTCTTTCTATAGGAAGCTTAGAGATTTTGTGTTTTTTTGTCACTTACCTTTAAAAGTCAAGTCAATTTGGTTTTGGGTAAACATGCCTTTAAGTTCTGCCAGTATTTTAAATAGCTGATGGCATATACTTCTTATAGATTAATTAGGAAAAGGATTACTTTGTCTTTTTTTAGATGGATAATTCTATTTTCTTTGACATCTCAAAATGTTTTATTTTGAAGCATTGAATGCCGGGACTTCAGTAGGTAGATGATTTCATTGGTCATCATGTGTCTTGGTAACTAAGGTAATGAAAAGATGAAAAGAAAGTATATGTAACTTTTAATTATTGCAGAAAAAATTAGACAGTTTAAAAGACTACTGAAAAAAGAAACCATAGGTTGTCCAGGTTGTTTCAGATGAATCTTGGCTTTTTGGTAAGGAATGTTAACCTTTTAATACTGCAGAGTGGGTTGTATACTGACAAGCCGTGTCTTTTACAGGGCAGTTAAATTCAAACTCCTGCTTTTATTCCAAGGATGCAGCCATAAGCTTGTGAGCCTTCATTTCTGTGGAAGGAATGCCTTATTTTACTTAGCAATTAGTTATCAACTAGGATATAATAACTGCTGTTATATTTGGCTAGTATACCCTGTGAGATAAGTGGTAGCAGTTCTCAGCCTACTTAAAGGTCATGAAATCCATTGAGAATCTGACAGAAGGTGTGGGCCCTGGGTCAAAATAAAAGTGCACACATCTGAATGGAACTTTATATACCATTTACAGATACTGCCCCCCTCCTGCCCCCAAGAGCATCTATAAACTATTGGAAAGGCTAAAAAATAAGAGATATATGAAGTTAATCTTTAAAGATATCTAGGTAGTTGAGGCAGTGCTTCTTGACTATTTCTGAATACTTAGTGAGCTGGGCTTGTAAATCTGACTAGACTTGAGTTTATAGATGCGTTGATAAACTTTTGCTAAAAGGGTTTTAACTAAAGTAAATAGGTTGGTGAAAGAATTGTTAAATTGCTAAATTTTTTAGGCAGTTATGCATTATACTGCTCTCCTTGCTCCCCCACCTCCCACACTATGTATTGTAACATATCTTCGGTTCTACTCTGAAAATGGAAAATTCTTGAATGTGAATAAAAATAAATGGCACAGGCCCTTGGTATTAAACTTTATTGCTCTTCTTACACTGAGATCTTGGATACTATAATTGAATCATAATGGGTGTGTGTGTACACACAATTTATGAATATATAGGAGACAAACCAAATAAAGTATATATATATATATTGTGAAACTAAAGATTTATTTGTGTTTCTACTCATTGAAATTTATTTGTATTAAGTGAAGTTATCTTCTCATTGGTTTTCCTCCAGGCAAATACTGTAATTCATTAAAAACTAATGAAACTCTAAAGGCTTCATTAGGATTACTCCAGCAGTTTTTGAACTTGATATAATGAAAAACATTCCTTTTCCTTATGTTGCTTTGGATAATTAGTATGACTATTAGTATATTTGGTTGGACATTGGCAACAAATACAGCATAAAGATTCATGCTTCTTCCATAGTTGTCCTAGGTGATTGAATGCTATCTTGAAATTGTTTCTCTTACTACATAGTGTGTCCATGTTTTGTGTGTCTATGTTTTGTGTGTTTACATATTTTTCACCTAAATAGCAATATTATGTATCAAGTAAATAAATATACTTAGCCTTTCTTGTTGGGCATTTGAGCTGTTTCTCCATTGTAAGTAGTGAAGAAAAGACTGTAATTTAGTAGTTTGTTTTATCCACCTGTACAGCTAGAGTAAACTTGAGCCATTTTCTTTATCTATGTTTTTTTTTTTTAAGGAAAAGAAAACACATGACAATTAAACCTGTCAGTAATTTTTCTTTCCCCTAAAAGAGTTTTCTAGGGGGATTGAACTGGGCTCTTAAAAGGTTTTTTTAAATCTATCTAGCAACGACCAAAGCACTTTTATAAAGTATTGTTTCATAGATTATATAAATTGATCCTTAAAATAATTCTGTGAGGTAGTTTTATGTTATTCCCATTTCACTGAAGAAACTCAGGCTCAGAGAACCAAATAATTTGCCCAAGAATACAGTAAATCGCAGAACTCAGACTTGGACCCAGGTTGTATATCTCCTGATACATACTTTATGTTAATTCATCCTTGATAATTGGTCAGACTGACTTATGGAAATAGAAGGGGAAAAAATCAGTTCAGTAGGATATTACCAATGGATTAGACATGTTTCAACATCTAGAGTTGAAATAAAGTAGGGTTCCTGGTTAGTAGTAATTAACTTAGACATTATACTCATTTAATTTTAAAAGCACTTATAATGTGCCCAGTAGACCATGGGAGAATGAAAAGTGATAAATGTTTCATAGGAGAAATAGGACATGAAAGTCACAGGATATGCAAGCAGTGTTACTAACATTTTACTTAGTGTTAAATCTGAGTAAGTGCTGAACAGAAGCTCATATCTACTCTCATCCTCTGCAACCGTAAATTCATTTTCCCCTATTCTAATAATATATATATAGAAAGTCAGAACATCTTACTATGCTGATGGACAGTGATTGCAATGGGGTCTGGAGGGGGGACTTTTTAATATGGGTGAATGTTGAAACCACAATGTTGCTTATGTGAAACCTTCGTAAGATTGTATATCAATGATACCTTAATTTAAAAAAATTAATTGAAAGCTAGAAAAAGAAGAAAGAAACTATGGTAAAGAAAAATGGAATTTTTGCAAAAGAGCCTTGGGAGGGATGAAGTTATTTTAGTGTTTCTAAAAGCTAGTTGTTGAGTTTAGGATCTCAAAGCATTACCTTCTATGTACCTATGGGCTTTGTTTTTGCCCTCTTGTTCCAACAACCTCTTGCCCTTCTTTTTTAAACGCAGGTAAAATTTTATTCATATTCAAAAGTTGTATGAAGACATTCTCAAATTTACATGATCTCTAATTTACCAATCTTTTAGCCTCAAAGATATTTTGAGAATAGATTTCAGTTAACTATGAGTAAAAAAATGTAATTTGAAAACAGTGAACAGTGATCATAGCTACCAAGTATGTTTTATAAGAATAAAATACCAATGTATGACATAAAAAGGATGATTACTAAAAAAGTAATCAATATATTTTAGTAACTTTATTGAGGTATAATTGATATATAATAAACTGCATATTCACAGTGTACAAACAATAACTTTTGATAAAAGTAAATACTCATGAAATTGTCAACACAATCAAGATAAGGAAAATACCATCACCTTTATTTCCTCGTGACTTGTAATCTCTCCTTCCTGCTCTTAACTCATTCCCTGGAAACCATTGATCTTTTTCTGACACTTAAGATTAGTTTGTATTTCTAGAGTTTTCTATAAATGGTATCAGATAGTATGTACTCTTTTGGGGGGAGTGGCTGGTTTACACTCAGCATGA